CAAAAAAGGCTTTACGACCGAAGTTGTTTTCGGCTGCAGATGAGCGGTGGATAGTGCAGCAAATCAAAAAAAATCCCAACAAGCTCCCAAGCTCTCAACAGAAATTTGGCAACATCTCAATATAAAATGTAATCCGGAGAGTATACGAATAGTCTTAAGAAAAAATAATTATAATGGAAGAGCAGCGCTGAAGAAACCATTTATAAACGAGGTTAACCGAAACAAAAGGATAAAATTTGCAAAATGTCATGGGGATAGGGATTTTCAATTCTGGAAACAAGTTATATTTGCAGATGAAAGCAAATTTAATATATTTAGGTCAGATGGACAGTCGTATGTTTGGAGAAAACCGAATGAAGAGTTGCTAGAAAAGAATTTACGTCCGACTGTTAAACACGGGGGCGGCTCAGTAATGGTATGGGGTTGTATGTCCGCAGCTGGTACTGGAAATTTGTGTTTCATAAATGGTAATATGGGCCATAAGCAATATCTCACCATTTTAAAAGAAAAATTAATTCAAAGTACGGAAAAGTTGGGAATAAAAGACAATTTTTAGTACTACCAAGACAACGATTCCAAGCATAAAGCACTTGATGTCCGTCTATGGTTGATGTGTAACTGTCCTAAAGTATTTGAAACATTTCCTCAATCTCCCAACATTAACGTGATTGAACATCTGTGGGCTCATTTGAAAAATAAACTGAAAATGCCTGTTATTAGAAATAAGAAAGACCTAGAAGCCGCTATTTTGGAAGAGTGGGGGAAAATAAATTCTTTAACATGCAAGAAGCTAGTTGAATCTTTGCCAAGAAGACTGAATGCTATCAGAAAAAGTAAAGGCTTGTCGACCAAATATTAAGAATATTTTGTTTCTCTTTAAATAATATTTTTAAATTCTATGCTATTTATATGTCCGAGTTTTTTTTTGTCACCAGTTTTGTTTAATTGTTATGTTCTTATTATTTATGTACGACCGAGTTTAATTAAGTTTATGGTTTTGGTTGTTTTGAAAATTACACTTGAAGAATAGAAATATATGTTAAACAGAAAGCCTTCGATTTGAATTTTATTATGTATTTTTTTTGTTTAAAGTCATATAAGTTGTGTGAGCCACTGTATATTCAACTTTATTTTTGCAGCAGCAACCGGTTAGATCTAAACTAGGGTGGATTACCTCCAGCTAATTAGAGTATCACAGATAGCTTAATCTTTCACATGGACTCTGACTTCCTTATATCCGAAACCAGCTTTCTGGTGTGCGGTTTCTCGCGAATATAAGCAACTTCATTTCATTTGATATTCTCAAATACATACATACGTAATTTTTTGGAAATGCCATGATATCAAACTGTTACTGAAATACCTATTTTGCAAGAGAGTAAATTCATTTAGTTACTCATACGCACTGTTGTACTGTAGACATATTTTTATGACAATCAGATAGGTAGCGGTAAGTTGGAATCGAAAATTATAAATGTATCAGGCACATCAGTACGTTTGAAGTACACTTATTCTTCCTTGCGAGCGTAGACACTGCCGAGCGGGTAACAGCGCGCTATTTCTTCTTTCCTGCCAGTAACTGCACACTCTTAAAGAAAATTTTAGCTTCTCTGTTCAGCTGTGCAAAGAATAACCTTGTCTTGTTACGTTTGATATTAAGCGGCTCGGTGAGATCCTTCCCGATCCTGACTGAGCTTTCTAGTGTTGGTTAATGCCTGTTTAAATAACCATATAAGTTTTTCGAGGATACCAAATTCAGACATAGCGGGGTAGAGGCAGCTCCATTTCGTGCTGCCGAAGACCACTTTGAAATCGACAAAGAAGTGCTGTGCATCGATCTTCTGTTTTATGTCTATAATCGATATTGAGGAGGCTTATCCCGCGATAATTACCGTAGACTGAGTGATCGCCTTTTTTTGTGCATTAGACGGAGCGCACTTTTGGTTGCGATCGGCGGGCATGCGTACATCCGTTTATATTTTGCAAAAAAAAAAGCTGTTGCATGCACCTTATCAGCTCTACTCTGTCGACAATCCATCGGCCCAGTCGCTTTATTGTATCAATCACTAGATCAAATTTTTGGGCTTTGCTCTAGTCTTAAGTCGCAATTACTTTTCGTGTAATTTTCGAGCATTACAATAGTCGGCCAGCTTCTCAAGCTTAACACAGTCATGCATCTGCACTTCCTACCTATTTTTTGTGTACACAGGCGCTCATAGAAGGTATCCTTGGTCGGATCCACCCGTTCATACACTCGAACGAATGACATCATGGCGTTGATGTCAGCATTTAGTCTTATGAGAAAAACTGGACGATGTCACCTTCCCATTCCAGGGTTATGGAGTTGATATCTAGGTGGCTGGTTTCAAACCCAGTGCACAACCTCGCTAGGGCAGTATCTTGACCCAAAGCTGCACAATGGTTGGGTGCGCGACGAGAACAAAAATAGGGAGCTGAGGCAAGATTACGCCGATAAAAACAGGTAGATTAAAACCAAGTTTTCAAAATTTAAATTATTATTACCACGTTTATGCTTTATTTCCACTCGGGCTCGAGGTGAATTTGAATCATTTTCAATTTTTTAAGAAAACAAAACAAATAAAAAGCACCGGAACAAAAAGTCAGCTGATTTCAACGCAACCCGAGTTCATGCCACCTAGTTAATGCTTCTACATATGTATGTAGAGAAATTGTGTATACTCTACCCGAGTTTACGCCTTAACTCGTGGTGAAAAAGTGCTTATGCTTACGAGTTTAATATACCCAAGTAGAATAAGCCAGAGTGAAAATGAAGCTGGAATGTAGTATATTTTTTGTTTTAATAGTTTTTGAGATGTTTATTTTGTTTTTATAAGTTTGCCGTAAAATCCAAAAATGCATAATAATGGAATCAAATTGGATACCGCTATTGTAATATTTCATACATCCTATTATTTTAATCGCATCTTAAAAAAATCTATTAATTTCCTGTTTTCAAACCAAACATTTCGCTGGTCATTTTATATTTTTCATGGTTTTATTTTTTATTTTTTACGTAATATTGCAACACAAAACGCACACAACAGGTTAAGTTCTATTTTATAGTTATTAGAGTTTTCTACGGATATTAATATGCAACCATTCCCAAAACTCTGCAAAGAGTTCAACACTTACTTCCTCAACGATTTCCGATGATGTGCTTATTTTGAAAATTCAAATTTTTCACCCGGTTTTAGATTAATTCAACTTAATCATCATAATCAACTTAAACCTCACACGTTGACATCTCCGCTTAATAAGAACATTGAATCAGTTGCGCCAAGGCAAACTATTATTGGTTTCTGTTAGCATTTCATGTGGAGTTTATACGAAAAATAAATATTAGGTTTTGTCAACTTGTTTATGTTTGGCTTAAAAATTTACAATCCCGATTTAGAAGCACGAATGTTGTTTTATGACTCATTATACCAGCATTTTTAGGCTATTCCAACTTTTTTCAAACTTACGGTTTAGATATTGACATGAGTACACTAAGCAGAAATCCATTTACAGGCCTATTCTGTCGAGGTAACAAATTTTACCCAGCTATTAAAATTTACCGTTCTGAGCTGACTGTTACCCTGTAAATTTTGTTACCAGCGAAATAGGAGGTAACAAAAATATCTGCTGTTTGATTTTGTGTTGTAAGTTTGAGAAAAAAAAAAAAACCAAAATGGGTAGGCATATTTTAGGCCTGGAATTCATTGAAGATGAAGAAAAAAGTGCAAAAAGCCGTATTTTAAGAAGTTTTCGAGACTAAAAAATAACCCTTTAATTTGTAAGATAACGTTTTCATTCAGCTTTTTTTTGTTGTCCAGGAATATTTTCCATAATTAGGTTCAAATATTTATGATTTAATAAAAAAATTAATAAAACTTTTTAATTTTTTTGTGCACCGTCTTCCATTTCGATGTGAATATTGTTATTTTTACTTTATCAACTGGCAAAAGTAATTTGACATGGACGAAAAAAGCAGTGCTGCCAAATTTTTTTCAAACATTGTAACCCGTTCGCCAGAATACCAAATTCAATTTCGGATGTTTAAGAAAAGTAACAAAATTTACTTTACCGGTAACAGTGAGAATAGGCCTGTTAGTGACATTAGCTCTGTTCTGTAAAAAATGTTAGTAAAAACTAGTCTGGAGTAAAATTGAGTAAGTAAGAAATTTACTGAAATTTCACTAAACAGGATTATGTAAAAATTAGCCAAAAAGTTCTATAGCAACTTTATTAGCCAAGCTGATTTTTCGATGATGTAACGGTTCATTTTCATGAATTTCAGGTACCAAATCAGCAAAAACATGACCTTGTTGATGAACCGTTGACTTGAGTTCTTGTGTTAACTGAACTTTGCAAGCCTTAAGACCCAAGTCTCTGTGCGAAATACCGTGTAATGACGTTCCCAGAATGCCAAATTCCAAAGAACGATGAAGAATGGATAGACCTGGGTTTTCTTTAACACTTTAGGCTATAGCAGTAAAAATCTCAGTTGTTCTTGAGCTTCCTGCAGGTGTTTTATTCTTCACATCACTAACTTGTCCTAAAAGCTGCATTTTTCCACCAATTTGTGTACTGCGGTCCGACAAGCTGCTTCACGGCGACCGAAAAATGTTTTAGTTTTACGAACCGTCTTTGCCTGGTCTTAGCGATTTTTATAGTGAATATGAATAATTTTAAAGCGTTGTTGAAGCGTGTATCGTTCAAGTTTTATTACTGGCACAGTTTTTACATGTTTTACTGGCCATTGCCTGACCGAACGCGCTTCAGTAAAAATCCGTAACGAATTGTTGCTGCCTGTCAGGTCACCGAACAGAGCTATTTTTTATGTGATTTGAAATACATAAATGTAAACATACTTATGTAGGTATATAATGGATACCTGTATATATTGATAAAATACTTGCGATATTCTCGCCCATAATTTATTTATTTTGTGGTTTATTCTATAACAACTATTATCTATTTTATCTTTCTCTTTTCAGATCGTATCAAACGGAATACCAAAAGTGAGGCAGCGAGCAGCTTTCGAGGAATGCGCGACCACAACCGTATTTCAGTTTGCAATATTGTTGTTATTCAAAGTTTTGTTGATAAAGAATAAATGAAAAGTGCAAATATTGTACAACAAAGAGCGAAGCGATAATATGCTATAGTGATGTGGATTATTATGCAAATTAAGTGTGTTTGTGCCTTTTGCAGAATTCGCACATGAAAAATTTGAAAAAAAGAAGAAGAAAAAAAGAAATACAATAAAAACATACTATTTTAATGTGGAATTGTGGAATTGTGTATGTAGTTATATGTATGTATGTGTGTACATATGTTGTTCCTCGCATGATCAGTTAAACTCAGTTATATCTCATACAACTTATCTTGATTAAATATTATATTAAGAATCCGGCAAATGTAGCTGCCGGCAAGTCAACATACATATAGTCTGAAAATAAAGAAATACACAAGTCCAACATTTTTTTTAAAAAGCTCCTGCCGCGTAGCAAGGGAAAGGGCATTATTGCACACACGTGTCTATGAAAATTGTGTGATCAACAATATTAAAAAAAAAAAAAAATAAATAAATAAATAAAATAATTGTTTTGTTTTTGCATAAATTAGTTGAGTGTGATATGACTACTAAATATCACAAGAATGCATCCAGCGGGCGAAAAAAGGGGTCGCCCCAAAAATAAGTACACAGCCCAGGCGCTCGAATCTATTAAACAGGATCTGACACGATTTCAAGTACAAAGGGACAATGGTGGCACACAGGTGAGTTGACATTTCACTTAAATTATTAATTTCGATTATAATGAATTCGCAAGAATCTGATTATTAAGACGAACTGAATTTGCGCCTCAAAGGCGGACATTTAAAGGGTAATCCATTTCGAGGTTCCCTACTATTTTAGAGAAAAAAATACAAAGTAATTTCAAATTAAATAGGGAATGTTTATTATCATTCGAATGAACATTTTTTGGCATTTATTTTTTTGGAAGATTATCTCTTACTCTTTGGGTCTTCGTTGAGTCCAATTTTCGATGACTCGTTCGAGCACTTCGACTGGTAACCGGTAAATGACACGTAGGATGTTTTGCTTCAAGGCCATGAATCGAAGCGGTGTCTGCATAGGCTTTAGACCTTACATATTCACGTAGGAAAAACTCAAGCGCTGCGGTATCACACAATTTTGGTGCTCAAACGACCAGCCAAAAACTCAAATTTTCTGCTCTCCGAAGTGTTATCTCAATAAATCCATTAATTGATGCGATGTGTGCGAAGTGGCGCCGTCTTGTTGAAACCAAATGTCGCCGAGATCACGAGCTTCAATTCCAAGCATCAAATAGTCGATTATCATGGCGCCATATCGCCGTTGATGGTTATGTTCTCACCGACATCATTTATGAAGAAATATGGACTGATGACTCCACCGGCCCACGAACCACACAAAACTGTTGTTTATTCTGTTCTTGAAGTTCTTGAATCTCTTCGTATGCCGTATATTTGCTTGCTTATATACCCATTGAGGCTTCATCGCTGAACAAAAATTGGCTCAAGCAGTATTATGTAGACTTTTAATTTAAGATCTCAACGAAAGATGTGCTAAGTCGTTCCATACGTCCGTCCAAATGCTGCGAATGGCGCTCTACGGTCTTCGTGTACACTTTCACCTATGTCGCTCTCCACCTGATCCTTTCAATGGTGTCGACGTTTTTCACTTCCACTGCTTCCACCAGCCGATGCAGCTAGAATGTTTACTCACATTCGGCCGACATGACCTGGCCAGCGCAGCCGATATGTCTTTATTCGCTTAACTATGTCAATGTCAGCGTGCAACTCGTTCGTTGTTGTCCCTATGGTATTCTTGTGTGGAAATCGGGTACAACAGCCAACCATATTTTGAGCCCTGGAGAAGTCGATCAGTCTCAGCCCGTTTGGGTTTTTTCGTCGAGGAAGTATCGCTAAAGTCCCCAAGCAAAAATTTGACATCGTGGCGGAGAAGCGCTCATAGAAAGCGTCTTTGATCAGTAATATATTAAAAAAAAATCACTTTGATGCGGTTTGCGGCTAGACGTTCCAACACCAAATTTGGCCTCCTTTATAAAACCGCTCTAGTAGATTTCACAAACACCTACCTTCTACCGTCATTAAATAACAGAACAGCGGCTCCTCCCCAATTAAGGGACCAGATATTCCAGGTGCAAGACCTCAAAACGTAATCCCTAGAAAGTTCTCGAGTGTGTCTTTTTTAGTTTGTTTTGTGAATCACTGGTTTAAAAAAATAATATCATTTTTAGGGCGTGACCTGGTTCAAGTCTTAACCTAATTCTTAACTGTTATGAATGCCTGCAAATTAGGGGTGGGTAACTGTTCTGCAGAGTCTTTCCAAGGCTGAAGTCCACAGGGAAAATCGCAAAGTATGAGCTATTTGAAGTGGATACTCGAAGCATCACGTAATGTGAAAATATTGATACACCACAGAGAAAATATAATTAAATTAATTAAAAAAATAAGGTAATAACGAAAACATGCATCGCTATGATGGATAACCGTTATACGGCCACATACATATGTATTCCTGTAGGAATAGTACCCTGTTCGAAATGATCTTTTATGTGTCTGCTTATATGTTGGATGAGTGCATAAGTTCGTGCCCGATTCCGCTGGATGCCGTTCGAATCGTTTGAGAGTGGCGCTCGTGAAATAAATATATACATATTATATATCGTTGGAAAGGTGACAGTCCGAATTGTAAATCAAGCTTAAAATAACTTCATTTTGACAGTATACGTTTGACTCCCACACGGAACAGTTCATTCGCTTACCTTGTGCAAATTATCACAACTTTCAGTGTATAGTGTATTCCTATATAAACCAGGTGTAATTTCAAACTTTATCCAAATGTCTGACCCTCCCGATCGGGGAAGAGCTGTGGAACAGCTCTTATACCAAACCAACAATCTAAAACTATTGAAAAGTAATTCCAAAAATGCTAAATATTTGGTAATTAATCGAGTTGAAAGTGAAGAAACTCTCTCAAAAGTGTCCCCATTTCTCATAAAAAAGGTTATTGACTCAGTGTGCGGCGGTGAAGTCGAATTGTGCAAGAAATTAAGAAATGGAAGCATTTTAGTTAAAACAAAAACATTCATGCAATCAAGTAAACTTATAACATTGTCTGCCTTTACGCCATATATCAAAGTCGACGTATCTGAGCACAATTCCCTCAACCACTCAAAAGGTGTAATATTCTCTCGCGAGTTAGTAGGAGTATCGGAGGAAATAATAAAAAGTGAACTTAAATCGCAAGCAGTAAGCGAAATCAAAAAAATAATGAAAAAAGTTGATCAAATCTTAGTCGAAACAGGTTTGATAATCGTCACTTTCGACAAATCTGAACTACCAAGCGATATTTTGATTGGTTATGAAAAAATTAGAGTAAGACCCTATATACCCACTCCACTAAGATGCATGAATTGCCTAAGATACGGGCACTCATCGAAAATATGTAATAACAAAAAAATATGCGCAAATTGCTCAAACATCGCTCACGTTGATCTTGAAATCAACGAAAAGTGCTCTGACACAACTATTTGTTCAAACTGCGCCTATAGTGGATCTGAGAATGCCAACCACAATGCACTCGATAAAAAATGCCCAATTTTTGTAAAACAAAAAGAAATACAAGCAATAATAACAATAGAAAAAGTTGATAGACGAAGAGCAATAGCCATATACGAAGAACGGCATCAACACAGCTCAGAAACATACTCATCAAAAATAAGAAAAACAAACCAATTAGTCACTAACAATCAAACTAGCAACTCTTACACCAATAACACGGACTTACCTCACTCATCAACAGTAACAACAGACACAGCAAAACCCACCACAATAAGCAGCATACCCCCAGCTTCTAGCAACAACAACGAACTTCCACTCAACTCTAAGAATCTACCACATTCATCCCCNGTTTAAAAAAGGTTGGGTACACTTTGAAGCTCGATACATGGGTGCCACATCAGTTGAGTGAAAAAAGCAGAGTGGACCGTATGTCAACAGCAATTTCTTTGCTTCGACGGATTAAAAACGAACCTTTTTGGATCGGCTCGTGACTGGTGACGAAAAATGGATCCTGTAAAACAATGTTCAACGCAAAAGAACATGGAAACAGGCACACGAAGGGGCGGAACCGATGTCGAAAGGTGGATTGCATCCGATGAAGGTACTGCTGTGCATTTTTTGGGATATCCGAGGCGTGATCTATTTTGAGCTCTTGCCAGCTGGAGAAACGATCACTGCCAACAACTATTGTCAGCAATTGGTCGAATTAAATAAAGCAATTGACGAAAAACGTCCGATTGTGGCCAATCGCAAAGGAGTTCTTTTCCATCATGACAACGCCAGGCCACATGTTGCAAAACCGACCCTGGCCAAACTGACGGAGATGAATTGCACCTTCTGATTATCATTTGTTTCGATCGCTGCAGAACAATTTGAATTGAAAAAAATTTAAAAATGTTGAAGACGTCAAAAACCACCTTGACACCTTTTTCAACGAGATACAGCGCGATTTCTATGAATCAGGCATCCGTAAATTGGTTGAACGTTGGGAGTGGATCGCCGAACATGATGGCGAATACATAATTGATTAATAAAAGCGCTTTCTTCAAAAAATTTCAATTTTAGATTGCACTTGAAATCGGGCACGAACTTATGCACTCATCAATAATAAATATTTATGTATGAATACGAGTACGATTTGCGCAGATTAAATTTTCCCGGCCGTATATGTTGAAGGTATAAGTGTCATAAAAAATCTGCTATGCGCATGTGATGTGCTGGAGCAAGTTATCAATTTCAAATTTTATTACCAAACCGGTAGCTACTGCTTCTGCAATCCTTATTTACGATCAGCTGTGTCCAATTATTTTTGTACTTTGCTATTACCATCTCGATCAATATATGACAATGGTGTATTGCATAATAGTTCTTGTACGCTTTTTAGGTCTTAGGTCGGTGTGAGATTACTTTTAATTTCTGTCCATATTTCCATCATTATGATGACAGCAGTAAATTGTGAACAGCGAATGAATAGCGTAACATGAGCTCAGTTAAAATCTGCAAAGCTTCTCCGTAATCGATTTTTGCAACATGAACATAAATTGCACCGGAATTTTTACATGACTATGTAAGAGTATGTGTACAGGATGGGCCATCTATCGTTTGATTTTTGAACTATTTGTTTTTTAACTTATTTTTGCGTTTGGCGTTTACGAACGGATTAAGTGTACGCTAGAGGAAAAGTGGAGAAATATTGGTAAATTTCCTTCAAAATGGGTTCATCAACCCCTACGAGTGTATTTCTAACATGAAATAAATGTTCGTCATGAAAAGACATCGGCCGTACTTTACTTATATACGTATATACGAGATGTGTTCAAAAAATATCGCGAATTTTGTGTTTTTTCAAAAATTATTTATTTATTCATGAATATCTATTTTGTCCCCTTCGAAGTAATCCCCTGTGCCAACGGTTTTTCTAATCTTCGAAGCACTTTAAAATATCATTTTTTTTTAATCTTGTTCAGCTCCTCCTTCGATGCCGTCCTTATCTCGTCAATCGTAGCGTAACGTCGTCCTTTCATGGGCCTCTTCAGTTTAGGGAACAAGAAAAAGTCACAGGGGGCCAGATCTGGGGAATACGGTCGCTGCGGCAGCATTAGAGTGTTGTTTTTGGCCAAAAAGTCGCGCACAAGCAACGATGTGTG